ATTAGCCAGTAACGTTGCCGATGTTCTTTGGAATGAATGACCTGTATATGTTTCAGGATGTTCTAGTTTCAAAAACTGTGCAATCTTGTTAGGAATCATAGAAAGGGTATTCTTGCCGACTGGTTGGTTGTAACATCTACCTGCTTGATAGCGCATAAAAAAGCCTGAAATTTCAGTTTTAATTTCCAATCTAATCTTGATATATTTCTTGAAATTTTCTAGGTGAGAAACAGAATCCGGACTAGAAGTAATTGTAAACGTACGTGACATACCATTTTTGGAATCTGAAATTGTAACTGCAATAATGTTATCGAAAGTTTTTGAATTCACGTTGTCCAAAGTAAGTTTGCATAACTCATCAGAACGGCATGCTCCTGCAATGTCTAAGACCGTCACTACCTTCATTAGCAAATATGTGTTGTCGGGTGCCTGAACGAGAAAATCGTTGAATTGTTCCCTTGTAAAAGGGTCATGTCAAATCGACCAATGTTTGGAATCGACCCCTTTCAATTTGGATGAAATTTGGTCAAAAGTTTTCCTTTATTATAAAGATATGCCAGAGGAAAAAAATAAAAAATTTTTTCGAGTTATTCAAAATTAAATATTTCACTATTTTTACAATTTTTCAAGTTTATTTTTTAAATATCTCGAAAACTATTATAGTTACAGAAATGAACTTGTGTTTGTTTTAGAGAGGATACTTAGGTCTATGAAAAAAATATATTCCGAAAAATAATTTTGAAAAATGAAAAATTTATAGAATTTTGAATTTTTAAAAATCGTCAAAATCGACTATAAACATTACATTTTTGTCTCAATTTTTTTTTATAAAATACCTTTAAATGATCTTAAAAGGTCCTGACATTTTCAGAGTTGCGTTTATTTTTTCAAAAATATGAATTTTTGAATTTGGTTTTGAACCATTGGTCGATATGACATGGTATGACCCAAAAATGTTTGACTTTTTAGGCGTATAGCCGTCATTCTTACGTTTCACGTTCTCCTCTATATGCTCGTCCATAGCGCACTTTCGACTTCCCGGGCAATGAAAATTTGCAAGCAACATTTGATGTACTTTCTATTTGAAAATCACTCATTTAGAAATAATAATTCATTCAAAACCAGCAAAATTGCAACTTTTATGTAGCTTTGTTAAACTCCTTAGAAACGACAAAATCCAAACAACTAAGGCGACTTTGCAAGATTTCGAATAATGTCGAAATGAATTGATTAAGAAATCTCAAAAAATAAAACCTAAACTTTATTTCATGAACCATAAAGAACTGTGGGAGCAGATAAAATGTTATGCACTACGCAGCAGTTAAGTATAATTTACCAGTTTCGGACTCGTCCTCGACTGGTAAATAATACTTACCAACATTTATGGTGTAAATAACTAAACCTCACGTTTAGTTACTTGTCAAAATAGGCATCTGTCATACTAAATAGTTACCTTTGTAGGTACCGAGTTAAAATTTAGTTTTGCTCTGTTAATCTTTAGTTTTTTGTCACTTTTTAGATTCCCATATCATTTTATGGACGCAAGTATTTTATACTACTTTAAGCCCATTTTTACTTCATGTATGTTGTAATAGTCAGCAGTCACATATTTTAGATACAAAGCATGGCAAGATGACGTTACACGACATGTAAAAAGTGATAGTTCTCGCCCGAAAATGAGCTATTTGTAAAGACCTTGTCAGAATATGTCAAATGTCAATATCAAATAATTATAATAAGCAACAACGCTACTACCGTCTCGTATAATATATTTCACGGTCGAAACATAGCTGTAGATTTAACACCAGCTGTCGGTTGAAATAATAATTAACCATTTTCAAACATAAGAGTCTTATCAAGAGTTGTATCACTATTGCCGTTTTATAAAGTATAAAATCTGTAGTGGTGTTCTATGCTGTTAACACCATTTAATTTTTTTGGTATAGCAGTTAATGATGCTGCTTAAATGTTGTTGGTTTTCTTGGTGTTACTGTCATTGTTAGTGGTACTGAATATTGCTTTTTTATTTATTGATGCTGTTGATTATAAATGACTGTTTTTTTTGTTCATTTATTTAATTGCTTGTATCTCAAAATGTTGTTGAAGTAATTGTTAGTATTTACCTCTTAAAATAATTGTACAGGCCATTCAGAAGAATAGTTTACTATAATAATATACAAAATGAACATTTATTGACTGAATATTGAATTATATGGGTGAGATACAAGATACAACAGAGAAATACACCTATGAATTATCACTGCTATCCAATATCTAGGTCTTTAATGCTCACAAACTGACAGAGAGCGACCTACTAATCTATAGGTACAGTGCCGGCCCTTTGAAAGTGGACGACTCTTATAAGCAAATAGTCTATAATTGGCCTTTGTGGAGCTGACTTGAAAATGTGAAGCTCAAATCATTATGTCAAATTTAATGTGTGTCTATCATACTAGTTCTAGTGAGCAAAACAAATCCAAATTAGGTAGCAAATTATTTATTTTTCCAATACTGAAATATATTATACATTCTAACGGCCGTTCATTCACCGTCAACGAGATCTAAATATGAAACACTTTTCGTCGTCTAAAAAACGCGATTCGTAAAATTAGTATTTTGTCCAAGCACCATTTTTGTCTATAAAACTGCAATCTACATGGCATTGATAAAATTAGTGTTCTTGTTATAATCCTCACTGATGTTATCCCATGCATTTTCAATTGCCTCCCAAAGTTCTTCGACGTTAACTGGACGGAAGTTTCTGTCGTAAATTTTTTTCACCATATATCTCCAGGGCTTTGAAGGCCAAGGTAAAACATCGATGTTGTTATCAATGAACCATTCTGACGCAACTCTTGAGGTGTGAATTGTACAATTATCCTGCTTGAAAGTGAAATTTTGAGGATACAGCATGGTCACAACAAACAACAGGACTTTGGCAGCTTATCCAAGCCCAAACGTTAATGGAGAATCTATCGCTGCGCTGTCTGGGTTTCACATAAGGCTCCGAATACCTTATAATCTCTGGTGGGTAGACACGAACAGAAGCATCGGAGCAAAACTGAAAACTTTTTTCATCCGAAAATATAATATTCTCCCAGAAGTTGTCTGGGCTTCATACAAATTGTCTTATAAACTCTAACCTCTGTTCTTTATACTGGGGAGTCAAAGCAACTGTATTTGCGGCCACATAATTCTTCAGCTTCGAATCTTTCACCCGCTTCCTTGCAGTTCGCACTGATCCAGGAAAATTCGTCTCAAAGGAAGCCGCTACTGTCATGTCAAAAGGATTTATTCTTAGGTGGTGCATACTCTTCGACGTCCACCTCCGTGAACATAACGTACGTGACCCTCCGTAATCCATTTTTCTTTGAGTTTAAATATGCTGTTCTTGCATACATGCAGATCATCCGCAATGACCAATTATTCTGAAGTAAATTTATAGCTCTCACTTTCTCTGGTTCCGTTAAACGCGGCATCTTGGATTAGGTACCAAGCAAATTACTAATGACATTGACATATAAAAACTTGTCGTAGTTTATAAGGTCTATGCATAATAAGAAGTAGACCACATCACATTAGAAAAATAAATCGTCCACTTTCAAAGGGCCGGCAGTGTACTATGAAAGCAAGATCTATTTCGCTACAAGGCAAGACAGTCATCAGTTGTTGAATTGTTGAGAAATATAAAACCTTTTGACATGACAGTATTTTATTTTATATTGTTAGTTACATTTAAATTTTTGCATACTGTCATTAATACTGTTGTCATTATTTTGTTTTTGTTATATTTTTATTGTTTATCATAATGTTGAAGTGATTGTATTAATACAGATCGACAACCAACGTATTTGGCTAGAAGGAATAAGACATAGGCACGGCGATTTGAGATACTTACCGTCTACCTGGAGCGTTTCGCTTGCCGGGTCCAGTGCGTTATCAGACGCAAACTTATTTGCGTCAGTCTGTATTTACAAGTTTAGTGTCAGTGTTGTTTAAAATGATTGCACAGCCCCTTCAGAATAATATTTTATTATAATTATATACAAAATGAATATTTACAGTTAGTACTTCGGTGGTGACAACTAATTAACAGGATTTTATAAAACAATTAATACATTTCATAAGTAAAACCAGTTTAACGATATCCAATGAAAGAAAACAATAAATTACAACTAAATTATTTGATATACCTACTGGCATTTATACTAAACGTCAATATTTTTTGTTTTTTTATCATGTCCACCTTTCGAATATATATACAAATTTTATTCTAAATTACGTTACGTAAAACGTGGTATGAAGTCGACCTTTTATACAAGATGGAAAATTGAAAAATTTAAACTCATTTAATGTATATAACAACACAATCACAATTCTGTTATAACTGCACGGACACTAGGTCACACTGTTCGTACGCGTCTTTTTCGTATTCGTGCGTAACGTCCGGTTTCGCGGGCCTAGGAGAGCTACGTCTGCTCTCGTTCTGTGATTGCTATACGGAAATCTCTTGTATCTGCACTCTCTTCTTCACAGTGCCGCCGGGAGGGTTGCTAGACGTCCTCATCGGTGGGGGTGGCTTCTCTCTCCTTAAGGTGTTTTGAGCAAAATTACCTTGGCAGTCGAGCATGGGACTGTCCGGCCCCAGGGTGTAGGAGGGAGGAAGCTCGTGTTTCTCTTTCTTGGTTATTATTGGAGATTGTCGCGCCGAACTTCCTGGCGTGGATGGTCTTTGTGACATCGGTATTGTCTCTGTTGAAGGCGTCGAGTTGGATCGTGAGTGGCGGTTTTGTGTTGGGTTTTGTCGTCTGCGATCTCTTTCCCGTTGGTAGTAGATGCCGGCGAATATGAGCATGTTGAGCACTAGGAGGAGGCATCCCACGCCTACTGTGATTCCTAAAGCTGCGGTGTAGCTGTAGTAGTGTCTGGTCGCCAGTCGTTGTAGCAACTCCTCGCTGTCCTCGTCTAAGTCATCTGGCAACAAAATGTATAAAATTAATTTCATATATTTGCTGTTGGTTTTAAAATTATAATAGTTGCAGATTATCTAATATAATAATAATAATACAGGGTGTCTCATAATTAGCTGGCAACCCTGAACAGGCCGATCAAAACTAAGTAAAAAAGTTCATATGAACATGGGTCCGGAAATGCTTCCTAAGGGCACAGGGACCCATTGAAGAGGGAGAAATGGAAATCATATTTTTGCAATATCTCTCAATCGCGTTGTGATAAATGAATGAAATTTGGTATACACAGCTAAATTTTGCTGAGCAATTTGATGGACTAATCCATTTATTTTCTTATTTTCACAAGGTCCATTGGCGGCTTGGTACTTTGCGTGTGTAACTTTTTCATCTTTGACTTTTTAACAAATTGGACAGCAAATTCCGTTTTCCCGAACTGTTTTACGTTAAAAAGGTACTCTTGTTTCAAATCGTTATCTTTAACGGTTTCTGAGAAAATCGCTCTTGAATTAATCCCACTTTGGTCAATTTCATAGTAATTTAAACAAAAAATAATAATAATAATTTAATACGTAATCAGTAATACACATTATTGATGTAGAACAATTATGATATGATGATTTGTTTATGGCTTTTGCGATGGTAATGCTGCGCGGCAGAACGCGAGTACGGCAGAAGGTTTCCAAACAGAAGGCTGACATCAAGGAGGACATTCCTCACTGTATTCCGCAATTTAGCTGCAACCGTCACTTTTCGAAGGGATCATAAGATGGAAACTTAATTTTGATAACAGACAACAAGCTATTTTAAAAACTGTTCAAAAAACCCTCCACCTTCTCTGATACAAAGTCTTGCCCTACGTGTAACACTTCTCGAAGCTATTAAGATGCTAAAACGGTTTTGACGAATTTCATTGGCTGCATCATTGATACGCTGCAGCAATTCCTCACGGGTATCGACTTCGGTGGCGTAAACTTTTTGATTTAGATATCCCCAGAAAAAGAAGTCCAGCGGGGTTAGGTCGGGAGAACGCGGCGGCCAAGCTACCGGTCCGTGCCTCCCTATCCACCGTCCAGCGAAATTTTCGTTTAGGAAATTTAGAACATTGCGACCACTATGTGCCGGGGCTCCATCGTGTTGAAAAAACATGTTACGTCGTAAATTTAGAGGCAGATCATCGAGAATTTGGGGAAGATTTTCTTGAAGTAAGTTTAAATAAAGATTTGAATTGAGACGTTGTGGAATTTCAATAGGTCCAATCAGAGTGTCGTGAATTATTCCCGCCCATAAATTTATGGAAAACCGTTGCTGGAAGTTTGTTCTCCGAACAACATGTGGGTTCTCTTCTTCCCAATAATGAGAATTATGAAAATTTAATTTTCCATTTCGGGTAAAAGTAGCTTCGTCACACCACAAAATTTTGGAAGCTTGCTCGTTGTCCAGCGACAAAATCCAGCGACAAAATTGCATACGTGGCGCAAAATCTTCTGGTATCAAGCCATGTACACGTCGATAGTGATAGGCATGTAGACCTTGTCGCTTTAATATTCTTCCAACCTGAAATGTTAGTAGCACATCTAATCAATTCTGTTAAGGAAATCTTTAAGATATGTAGTACCGTTGGCCGAGGAACATTTATTTGCCTTGAAATGTTCCGTATGCTAGTCGTAGGATCTTGTTCAATAGCGTCAAGGACCTCCGCTTCCCTATTAATCCTGGGACGTCCTTGACCCGGTGCCTTTCGAAAAGTGGCGGTTGCAGCTAAGTTGCGGAATACCGTAGGGAATGTCCTCCTTGATGGCAGCCTTCGGTTTGGAAACCTTCTCCCGTACTCGCGTTCTGCCGCTGCAGCATTACCATCGCAAAAGCCATAAATAAATATCATATCAACTAACTCTTGTCCCGTAAACTCTTCCATTTTTTTCGCTTAGAACTATTAAATTGGCAATCGGGTTGACAATACTTTGACATAAGAATACCTTGATAATTTTGTTTAAATTACTATGAAATTGACCAAAGTGGGATTAATTCAAGAGCGATTTTCTCAGAAACCGTTAAAGATAACGATTTGAAACAAGAGTACCTTTTTAACGTAAAACAGTTCGGGAAAACGGAATTTGCTGTCCAATTTGTTAAAAAGTCAAAGATGAAAAAGTTACACACGCAAAGTACCAAGGGCCCCCCCGTACCCACCCCAATGGACCTTGTGGAAATAAATGGATTAGTCCATCAAATTGCTCATCAAAATTTAGCTGTGTATACCAAATTTCATTCATTTATCACAACGCGATTGAGAGATATTGCAAAAAAATGATTTCCATTCCTCCCTCTTCAATGGGTCCCTGTGCCCTTAGGAAGCATTTCCGGACCCATGTTCATATGAACTTTTTTACTTAGTTTTGATCATAGAATCGGCCTGTTCAGGGTTGGCAGCTAATTATGAGACACCTTGTATAATAAGAAATAAAGTAATGTACAACGCAGCCGCTTTCATAAGTTAATAATTTTTGCGCGACACAATATTTACAAAGATACTAATTCCCTCTTAAAATATGATTGTAATATTGGAACAACTGTACAAGTTCTATGGCAAAGTTTGACTGAGATAGCAGCTGGGTTAATTTAAAACAATATTTCTTATATGGACATAGATCCGATTCATTTTTGTTTAGATGTTTCAAGCATTTTAAAAATTATAATTTCATATTTCAATGAAAGTAGCCTTCATTTGATACCTAGCGTTAATGATAGATTCATTTCACTTGTCATGTGGTCTGATGAAGCGTGTTTTACTAGGGACGACATAATAATAGTGAACATAATATCAGGGACTTTATTCTTGAATTATAGGGAATAGAAGGAACGAGAGAAAGAGGGCGTGTCTCTACTAAAATTCATTAATCGGTATTCTTGAATGCTGTTCTATTGAGTAATGATAGAAAAATAGTTCCCCATTTCTTCTACTAATATTTTCGGGGGAACAGGCAGGAATCATTAAACCTAACCCTATACTGGTATTTTTTTACATGTTTCACAAATAATTACGAATTGCGCAATCTGTCTGTAATATCGGTAGTTACTGTTTTGTGGTGATATCCTTCGAGAACTTTTAGGAAACGTTCGTATAATTTGCGTTTATCTAAAGGATTGTACAGTATACGAATAAAATAATAATAGAATAAAATGGATCTGCCTAATATAGTATTAAAATATTTGTAAGTTCCTCCCAGTTAGCCCTCATTTTCTCTCCAGTATAGCTGGGTGTTAATTTTCCATTGTACATTTGTTTTTTAACTTCAATATATTCTATTAGAAGTTCTTTTTGTTTAGAACTTACTGAATTTAGCTTCGGTTTTTTATTAATTTCCATTTTCTTTCCTTTTAGACTGCACCTGACACTGACAAACAAATAACAATAAAATAAATTAGCACTTATTTCATGACTAGCTCATCATTAGTTTTCATTCTACCGCCTGTTTATTGCTTTCTGATTGGTCGGTACATTTGACAACATTGTTCCTCGTTCTTCACTTTCATGGTTCGATCCCTTTGTGTCGAGAACTTCGAGCATACTAGAGGCAGCCTTCAGTGCTGAGAAAGCGCGACTGGTGTGCGAGAGAGAAAGGACAATAAAAGGACATGCTACATCTTGTCCAAAGGACCCTGCACTAATCTTAAGGATTTTGGCCCCCGGTGAATTTCTCTGTAACTTTGGGAAAATATAGGTTTCGACCTACTGATCAAATATCTCCATGGGCACATAGCCGAAAAATCACTCCTATGGGCCCTACCGGGGGATTTTAACCCAAAAATGATGGGGCGCGAGGAGATGATACATCGCTCAAGAAACCAGTTCCTTCGCCGGGGAGAAGGCTGAAAATGGATTTTTGGGGCTAAAATTGTCCTCTCTTTCATATTCTGGGATCAGTTCATGGCTGCTGACCTCCTAAATACCCGAAATTGGAGTGCGAAAGGGGTAAAAACGTGAATAATAAGACATACTATAAAAACGAATGCGGACCTCGCAAGTTGCGCCTGAAAGTTGACAATATTGTGGATTTGAGATTTCAACACATCCTCTCCCCTACAAGGGACAATAAAGGGGTTGGGGGGAGGGGGTGAAAATATGATGTTGTTCCAGCCCGCCTTAGGCGATCGAGACTGGTTTTTGGGGGTTTTAGGGCCATTGATTTCCTTTTAAGGGTCAGTTCAAACATACTCACTCTTAATGTACTGAATTAGCGGCTGGGAGGAGTCAAAATGCAATAAATGATCCAGACCCTTGATAATAGTTATTTATCGCATTCTGTTTTGTTCAATACAAAAACAATGTCGGATTTCTCACCTAAAAGACTTTTTCTCAGACCTTACGATGGATTCAACAACTCCGAAACTCCCGTTGGACTATATAATAATATGAAATCCACAATGTTGTCAACTTTCAGGCGCAACTTGCGAGGTCCGCATTCGTTATTATAGTAGGTATGTCTTATTATTCACGTTTTTACCCCTTTCGCACTCCATTTTCGGGTATTTAGGAGGTCAGCAGCCATGAACTGATCCCAGAATATGAAAGAGAGGACAATTTTAGCCCCAAAAATCCATTTTCAGCCTTCTCCCCGGCGACGGAACTGGTTTCTTGAGCGATGTGTCATCTCCTCGCGCCCCATCATTTTTGGGCTAAAATCCCCCGGTAGGGCCCATAGGAGTGATTTTTGGGCTTTGTGCCCATGGAGATATTTGATCAGTAGGTCGAAACCTATATTTTCCCAAAGTTACAGAGAAATTCATCGGGGGCCAAAATCCATAAGATTAGTGCGGGGTCCTTTGGTTAGTGCAACTCTCTCGGTTTCGAAAATTCAATACCTATTTGTGAAATTTGTAGTTGCCTTAAAATTTAATCATGGAAATTTGTAATGGTAGAATTTTTTACCCAAGATTAGAACCGTAACTTGTAATATATTATAAATTCAAATTCAGTAAATTTTCTCACAAAAGTATTTTCTAAATTTATCATAGGAATTATACAAGAAACACATTACCACCATTATATAATTTATTATAATAAAATAGTTATTATTTTCGTTAAGTCATTGTTTCTCTGGAATGATTTCAGAGGTATCTTGAAAAAACAACTTTCAGGAGCTCATTTAATGGGTTGTAGCACCTTAGTAAGCCATTTTCACCCATGTTCGTATCTTTTCAAACCTTTGCTCTTAATGTGTTGTGTCTGTAATTATTTATTTGGCATTTCCAATTACTCTTTTTATATGGTTGGCTATTTCTACCCCACCAGAGAAAATATTAAACAAGTAACCTCCTACGCCAAAACGGTAATGTTATTCATTGTAATAACATATTTTGGAAAAGACAGTAATACGGTAAAAGGAAAACTAAAAGAGTCTCCATGTTTATTTTGTTAAATTGTGATAAACGCATTTCAAATAATTCCGCAAAAATGAAGGTAGTTTACTCACTCTTATGACATGCTCATTTCTTTAAATTTTCTAAACACGCGGTTCACGAAATATTAACTTTCTCCAAAACACTCATTTTAAATACAAACATTAAATTTACAATATCAATCCGTTGGTCCTTTCTGGCGCGGAGGGTCATTTTTCAGATTTTTTTTTAACTCACCGATATCATCTTCGGAGTTGCGGTCATCTTCCGACGTAGTGTTGGGTACGCATTCCGTGCCAGCGCCCCCTGCGATGTGGGAGTCCGTCATGGAGGCAGGGTGCAGCGATGGCGGCAGCCTGGTGAATGATTCTGCCCTGACAGCCCCTGCAACAACATGTCCGCTACATGATATATTCAATCACATTTGTAGAAATATATCGGCTGGAAGATGAATGGTTTCCAACTCAGGCATCGTTCATGCGTTTATCGCCGTCAAACATAAAATAATAACCCCTGTGTCGGCGCGCAAACAATACGGATGGTTTTCCTACCCTTATCTCTTTCCATAAACACGATTTTTTTTTGTGTTTTCGGTTTTGTGTGCTTTTTTTTCAGTTTAGAAGTGCATGAAACTCGAGCATATTTACAAAAAAGCAGAAACATAACGTTACATTGTTTTTTTTTCTACTATTGTGCGTTAAATTTACATTGTTGTATAGGGTGGGCCAAATTCGAGATACTTTTGGGAGTTTACTCCTACTTTGTAAATGGATAGAAAGCCAGTGATTTAAATGTCAAAAATTCGACTTTCAAGGAAAGTTGAATGGCGAAGACCGCATCTTAAGCGGGATCGCATCTTGATGAAACTCCAAATCAAAGTTAACGCGCTAATGCAAACTAAAACCCCGTAAAAATTATTTAGCGAGAAAAATACAACAGTCGATACCCAAGTAGAACTAGTTAATGATTGCGAAAAAGGTGAACATTATTTTGCTGAAACATTTCCTGGCATCAAATCTTTGACGTTCAAATTATTGAATTATACGACTAATGAAGATGTAATGATACTATTTGCTCTGTAACGCATTTGTTCGTGAAAGTAATTTAATGAGATTCAATTTTTAGAAGATTATTATTTATAAAATATTTATTAATAAAAAAAAGCTTCTTTTCGTTCCACGGTATTTTACTTTTTTTTATTAAACAGTAAGCAATTCCAACAATACAGGGTGATTCAGTACTTATCAAAAAAAAAAAATTCTGGATGTACAGGGGACCTTTACAAATACAATTTTGTAAAGAAAAAATCAAAAAGGGCAGTTCGAAAAGATTTAAAAATAACACTTCTGCACGGCACTGGAAACAGGTCCACTGTAAAACCTGACCTCGAACAATGCGACCGGCATGGCGGTGCGATAAAAACGGACAAAAACTTTCGCAAGGAAAGAAATATGTAAATAGAATTTTATCGCACCTATTTTATATCGGCAAATTCAACTGCTTTTGCCTTTATTAATTAATAAAATTAATTTGTGTTTTTAAATAATAAAATCATTTGACATACCCGATGTTGCAACAGCAATTGTTCAAAATTTTATCCACTCACGTGTAAACACATTTGGGTCCGTCTTACTCACTTTCTACGAACTAACACAAATGATGTCTTGCTTCACCATAACACAAATACTTCACCATAATACAAATGTTGTCTTGCTTCACCATAAATTAAAACGATATCCATCAACTCTGAGTTGCTATACACGCAAGCCATTTTTGACACTAACTACTAAAAAACTGATGTAAATACCACAGATAACAGGTAAAAACTACCGCAACGACGGATTTCAGTATTAGGAGTCACATGGCTCTCCACGCGTATTGCGAATGACGCTAGAGACTACAGTTGTCCAGCTATGTAGTGGTTTAATGTGCTATAACTTCAATAATTTTTTTCTCAGAAACTATAAGGATTTTACAAAATTTTTTTTTACAATATTGACTCCATTTCTCATGCCGCATCTATTCCCAAATTTTTTTGGATAAGTTGTGAATCACCCTGTATAATTTAGTTTTGGTTTAACTACCTGATAACCAATTTTTACTAAATGATCTGTTACTTTCTTAATTGTTTTTAATTGTAAAATTTTTCATGTCAGGTGTAGGTTTTAATTTTGAAATAAATAATTTATCTAAATTTTTTATCTAATAAAAAATTAACAATATCACCATTACTACTCACCAATTCACGAATTTCACTTGCCATTTTTCTTTACTTCTACTTTGTAAATGGATAGAAAACCAGTGATTTAAATGTCAAAAATTCGACTTTCAAGGAAAGTTGAATGGCGAAGATCGCATCTTATGCGGGATCGCATCTTGATGAAACTCCAAATCAAAGTTAATGCGCTAATGCAAATTAAAACGCCCTAAAAGTTATTTAGCGATTAAAAACACAACCGTAGATACTCAAGTAGAACTAGTTAATGATTGCGAAAAAGGTGAACATTATTTTACTGAAACATTTCCTGGCATCAAATCTTCGACGTTCAAATTATTGAATTATACGACTAATGAAGATGTGATTATATCATTTGCTCTGTGACACATTTGTCTGTGAAAGAAATTGAATGAGAATCGATTTTTAGAAGATTATTTTTTATAAAATATTTATTAATAAAAAAAAACCTTTTCGTTTTTCAATACTATCTCGCTTATTATTAGAGATGGACCCAACAAACCCTATATGACTATGCTCGACAGGGAACGTTCTATCCAAATATGTGAAAACATATAGGGTGTTCCATTAAAATTAATAAAGTTAACATCCACGGCCATTTTGTTTGGACTTCATTTGTTTTTTTAGTATCATTTCCGAAAAACGTGCAACTTTTGTTTTTCACATGTCTTTATAACTAAAAACAAAAAAGTTAAAGTGGGGGTCAAAATATAATGAATCACTCCGAACATATCTAAAAATTACTAATAACTAAGATAAGCATTTAACATTCTTTGTTTCATTTTGGTGCCAGGCGAAATATAGAGCATTTCTTATTTCTGAAAATATGACTTCGGATGCTACTGAATTGTGATACTCTCTATTAAATCATTTTGAGTAGTTTTTGAAAGGCTAAAAAAGGAAGTTTTTTCAAAAAATACTTTAAATTTACTGTCGTACCTTGAAAGTAAGTTTGCAAGTTGACGAAAATTGCCTTGATTAATGGAATTATCAGATTCATTAAATCTTCACCCTTAAATCTTGTTCCTGTGCAGCTAATCAATAAAGTGCTTTACAATGTCTCTATTTTCGTCCACGACTTTATTGTGTTCTACTACATTCTCACGAAATGCGAAATCAAGAAAAGTTTGGATGTTTTGTTTTCCTAATAATTTAAATTTTTATGATGAATATGGATGCTAATCCGATCGCTTGTGCTTTTTTAAGGATTTATTAATATGTTTCAGTTCTGAATATCCTAGACTGTGTGTTTTACTTTTTTTCATTAAACAGTAAGCAATCGCAACAATATAATTTGGTTTTGGTTTCACTACCTGTTAACCACTTATATTTATTGTACCAATTCTTACTAAATGATCTGTTTACTTCCGCAATTGTTTTTATTTGTTAAATTTTTCATGTCAAACGTAGGTTTTAATTTTGAAATAAATAATTTATCATCGAAAGTCAACGTACTAAATTTTTATCTCATAAAAAATTAACAATATCACCATTTTGCTTTACTCCAAACTATTAAACAATAAAAACTTGCCTAAACCACCACTACAAACCCTAACCTAGGCATAAACATAAACAAACGACAAATCGCAAATTATACGGAAGTACTCGAGGAATATACGAGTGAAGCCGAAGGGTTTGCCCGGTGTCGTAAACTTTAATAATTATAATTATCATTATCACAGAACATTCAACCTAGCACCATAGATATTTATTTTTTAACTCGATTTACACATTACTATAAAACGGTTTATTTATTAAAATTTGTTTTCTGGAATACCTTTGCAGGAAAAAAATGTTTAAAAATTCATTTAAAAAACAAAATTACAGCAAATAAATGTACATATGTATATTTCCAATCCGATATTATCGGAATTAGCCGATACAGGACTCGACAGGCATATGCAAGCTTGCCCAGCGTGGCTCAGATATTCTGAATTAGTGAACGACCTACGTTTCCGTAGGTCTCTAATCCTAGGTACGTATCTCAGGCTAATAAATAAAGGGGACGCCTTTATTTACATTCGATAGTGAAGTGTTGACATATGTGTATTTACAAACATTGGTACTTGTGACGTCCTTGACATTGATGCCAATGTTACATTTTTATCTTTATAGTTAGGTACAGCGGTCATTTTAATTGATTATCGTACAAGGATCTACCTCATTCTTGACCTCGACTTACAAATTAGTTACATTGTAATATGCATAAGACTACGACACTATTTTCTTGCAACTTGTTTTATAACTATAGATTTTGAATATCTGAAAAAAAATACATTATTGAAATTCCTAGCAATACAAACGTCGTAAGTGGCATCATTGCCTGGTAGTAAACGGTTCTAAAGGGGACGCCATTATTACAGTCTATTGTTGTGAAATAGATATTAGCCGAGTTCAGTGTTTTGTGTCTTTTTAAACTGTTTTTTTATCTAATTTCAATAAAAATGCCAAAGCGGCGTATAATATGCCGACAATTACAGGAAAAGAGCCAAATATGTGCTACTTCTTTTCACAAGTAAGTTTGACATTGTTTCCATGGGCGTTCTTACAAGGGTGTAAGGTGTCCTAAGTATTTTATTTGTTAATTTATTATGTTTGTATTTTGATACTGACACTAGCTCTGTGTTTATTTGTAGAATACCATAAGATCCTGCGATACGAGCAGTGTGGCTAGAAAATTTCGCCATATCTGAATATGATTTTTCAAAGGATAATTATGTCTGTCGAAGCATTTCCGTGCTACAGATATTAAGGTAACAGTAACTGGAAAACGATGTCTCACACATGGA